ATAGTACTAATTAACACTAATTAATATAGTAACATTAATTAACTGACTCTCTCTATTATGCTTATGTTTCTAATAGTAAATTAACGCTAATGTAGTAATTCATTCATGAACTGTTCATGAGCTGTTCATTAGCTATTCATTTGATATTCATCAATTGTTATTTGATGTTAATGAGCTGTTATCTTTTGTTAATAGGCTGTTATTTCAATATTCTTAGCTTCAAAATCAATGTACCACACTCAAATTTAATTCTATACACATTTCTTATACTATACAACATATTAATTAGGGCTCTAACCATTTTGTTTGTTTCCTGTGTATAAATGTTTATTACCATTTACCGTTTCTGTGTGTGTAAAAAAGTCTTGTAAACTTGGTGTAGCATTTATACACAGTAAACAAACAGTTTCTCTTGTCAACTATAGAAGGTCCTAATGTTATACATTTGCAGTCTTGCTAACAGATTTGACCTGTGGTGAGCTGAAGAGTGTGTCTCACTACTCGTGCATCATCCTCAGGCAGCCTCTTCAAACTTCCAAGGCATAGTGGCTGCATCGAGTGCCAGCTGTGCTGTGGCTGCTGCACATATAGTCGTGACTCACTTTAGAGATATGATAGCAGTCATGCCAATAAAACCCATGCTGAGCATAGTCCAGAGGTGAATATCGCAGAGATTGAAATACTGTATATGTGTTGACTGCTCCACTACATCCAATCTACTATAGACAACTTAAAGCCAGCTCGCAAAAGTGGTGTTATTGGCGCAGCATGCCGCAAGCCCAGGTTTTGTTCAAGAGGGAGCAATAATGGTTTTGTCTTACTCATGGATGACATGCTGCAAGGGATAAGTGATGGTTGACCCTGAAAAAGACATGCTACTGAAGTCTGCACTCATGCAGCAGCTTTCTCTAGGTCACTTCTCAAAGCCTAACGTGAGTACTGTACCTGTATAACTAGTCCAATGGTGGGTGTGACAAGTGACGGTTGACCACCAGTCTAGCAGGGCAATGAGTTTAACCGTGACCTGTGACACCAGTTAAGAATGCGGTGGTCAAACAGTGGTGGTGGCCCAGGCGTGACCCAACAGAACAGCAACACGGACAGGAACAGTAATAGTGCTAGGTGTCTTCTTGTAATTTTTGCACTGCAGGTCCAAAAATATTGAATATTAATTTTAGCAGAAAAAAATGTGGGAAGCGGCGGCACCCCTTGTGGCGACATAATTGCTGCTCTCGAAAGCAGCGGCCGAGAGCTATGTGATGCGTAATGCGCCAGACTGATTGTACAGGTACAGTATACATCATACAACCATGAGAGTACCAAGCTGAGATTTGCACCAGTTGCTAGCCCACTATCTGATGGCGGCGCCGACCTTCTGAATCAAGAGTCAATCTCACATGCTTTCAATAAAGCCAGCTCTGCAGACACTTCCATCGCCGAGTCTGTCCTCGGATACTATGCTACCTCGCAATGCTACCCTCACTGATTGGAACTTTTCACACGCCTTCAACTCTTTGCCACGCTGGGTCCGTTGAGGATATTGCTATGATATCTTGATTTTTGGGTGGGAAGTTGTAGCTGCATCTTCTTGTACATTGAGCGAGCGCCTCCACATGCATCGCAGCCACGCCACTATAGTGTTAGCTTTTGTGCCTCCCTTTTCAGGCTCAAACCAGCACAGAAGGTATTTGTGTCAAGCTATAGGCTTGCACAGTTTTGTTAGAAGCTATTCTGGCACAATTAAATAAATACCCCTGCCAACTGTTTGTTTACTATTTATAAACTGTTTATAAACGTTTAGAACTATTTACTGTGTGTTTGCCAAAAATATTTACATGTAAACTAAACAGTTGAAGCCTAAATATTGATAGCTGTATACAAGTATAATATTCAGAAAAAAATGGCACCAATAAAAATTGAACCCTGATCTTACTACTTTCAAGTTATCTGTTGAAACATGCACACATTGACCACTGAACCATAGAGCTCATATAAACTTTAAACTTCAATGTTTCTATATACACTCAGCTAACAACTTACAAATAATTTCTAAGTGCAATCTAGAAGTTTAACACATATTCACACTTCTAGGTCTAAACACAATTGTTTCCCTTGTATATAATGCTAGATGTACAATGTTTGATACAACTGTCATTTACGAATATAAAAACCTTTAATACATACAGTGGCTTTTTGCAATAGATTATCAACTATTGCTTTAGCTACTGAATTTGCTAGTTAAAATAACATGTTGTTAGCATGCAGATAGTAATAAATAAAGTGCAGAATAAATATGACATTCTATTACACAAATACAGTTGTATATAGCTTATTAGCTAGTACTTAGCCAAAAAAACTATTTGCTGTTCTTGCAATAAAACATAAATGCTAGTCAATGTATATAAAATATGTTAGTGATGTTAAAAGCTGTATATATATTATCTTTTACTTTAAAACTGGCATTTTATTTTACTACTTATATTTATACAATGTATTACTGCAATTTTTGACAATTAGAAGTTCAAAATATAAGATATAAACTTAAAAACTTCTTTCAAATAATTTATTTGTATTGAAAGATGTTAGATGTATTTGAGCCCTTAATTAGCGCTTAAATATCATTTCAATACATTTTAAAAACAGCTTCATTATCAAATATAGTTTAATAAAATGTTACAAATTATACTTGCCTTTATAGCTTATTTTAAATACTAATAACAACTAACTAATGTTACTAGTAATTACATTTTTTTGAATTACAAATACAATAATTAGATCAGAACTAAAATAGTTAACTATAAGAGCAAATAATAAAGATCAGCACAAGTCAAAATTAAACTTATCAACAGTAGCCAAAATAAACAATGTAAAAAAAACTCATTAAAGC